CAGGGATCGCCCCCCCCCACCCCTACCCAGCAGCACCCAGTGAGCCGGGGAGGGTTTCTAAAGAGCCGGGAGCTGGGGTGGGTGGGGCAGCCATTGCCAGGCTGTGGGGGATGGGCCTGGCTGATTTGGAGATTCGGCACGAGTTGAATCTCCAAATCAGATTTGGCCAAATTGATACAGGACAGTGATTCAAATCACCAAATTGTATCACTGTCCCCTGAATTGGCCGAATTCAAATCCAAAGCAAATACTAGCTGCTTCGCACAGGCCTAGAATGCGGGATTAATTTTCTGACCTTGATTCAATAATGTAATCCTGGGATAAGCGTATAGACATACTTTGCAATATCCAGGATAAACTATTACTCCCTCTGATCTAGGAAACTTTTTTACTATTTATCCTGGGACAATGCACATGGACATCTTTACTCTTGCACTTTGTCCCCAGACAAAATGGTTTGTCCCAAGATAAACATGATGACTGTTTGCAACCTAGGTGGTACAGAAATAGAGAACAGCCAGTTCATCTTTTAGAAAACACTTATCCTAAGATGAGAGAGAGGTAGGTAGCCATTCTAGTTTAAAGGTAGGTAGAATGCAAGGCCAGTGTGTCACCTTATAGACTAACTTGTTCAGAGAGGCATGAGCTTTCATAGACTACAGCCAACTTCATACCATCTGATGAAGAAGGCTCTAGCCTTTGAAAGCTCATGCCTCTGAATGAGTGGGTCTATAGAGTGTCACATTACTCTGCTTTCTGCCCGAGACAAAAGCATATAGACAAATTCTAAACCAAGAGAGTTTTGGCTCTGATTCTAGCGGTAATTCCCTGGAGTAGGGGTTTGCATCAAATCAAGTGGTGCAGTTTTGATCACAGTGGTGTAAACATGCTTATTTGGGCACTAAATAGAGTTTTTGTGGAAGTTAAATTAATTTCCTACCACCCCAAAAAGGTTGAATTAAGGTGCAGATGCCTTTTAAAAGAAACAGACAGAAAATATTTAAAGCAACATTAGTTCAATACGTTCTATTAATGTTCTTAGAAAGGATAGATATATGAGCCACCCCAAAGCAGACAGAGATGAGTAAACAGCACAAAGATGACATTAAATTTAAACTTTAAAGAATGCAAGTTACTATTAACCTAAGTCTTATACGTATGTATTATCTTCACACATGTATGGGTGTGTCTTGCAGCCTGTATTTTGACCAAAGACCTTTTTTTGTTTTAGCAGTACCCAGAGTACACACCATAGGCTGGCATTTGGTACCCCACACAGAGCGGATAGAGAGTGGTGCATACTATCTGCTTCTCAGTTTCCTCTCCACCAGTCTTATACTGGTTTCAAGTCAGAGGAAGATGAGAAGGAGGGTGGGATTCAACTGTGTATGTAATATGACATTACAAAGAAATTAAGCTACTAGAAACTTCATTTTCTCCTTCAAGTAACTATCCACAGAATCCAAAGCAGTTTCCACATCTATGGAGGTGAGCAGCAAAGCCTCTAATTAAGAGGAATGAGGCTTCAGGAAGAACACTGCCAAATTGAAGGGCTGCCCCAAAGGGAAGTCACTAACAAATCTGGCGAAGAACCAAAGGTACCGCTGCAGAATTCCTCTACTAGAGGAAGAGAGAGGATATAAGGAGGGTCTGTTTTTCACCTACTCTTCTTGCCATTGCAATCATTGCTAGGAAGGCTATTTTCATAGAAAGATATAAGAAGGAGCACTTACTACAGGCTCAAATAGTTCTCTCATCAGTAATGTCAGGACCAGATGCAGACACCATTGTGGGATGAGGTCCTTCACTTGGGGAAACATTCTGGACAAGCCCTTGAGGAATCTGGGGACTGTCAGATGAGAAGGTTTGCCAACAATTAGCTGGAGGAGCCGAAAGTGCTGCTAAGTGAACCCTATCTGAACTGAGGGGAAAAGGTCCTTGTATTTTGAACAGCAGACACTCTAGTATCTCTAGTATGGTAGGCTTGGCTACATTGGTGTTTCTCACTGAGAACCAAATAAAATCCTGATCCATTTGGCCAGGTAGACATGCATGGTAGAGTTCTTTCTGCCATGGATAAAAACGACCTTGATTTGAGTCAAATACACTTGCTGTACCAGCAAGCATTCAGACTGCGATATGGAGGGAAACAGAAAATCCAGGTAAAGAATATGCCCTTCCCTCTCTGAATTAATAGGTCTGGAACCAATGAGAGCATCACAGGATATATTGCCAACAGAGAAAGAAGACTGATGCCAAAGCTACCTCAGCCATTACTAGAATCTGGTCCTGTCTCACTTGACAAAGGGCAAAAACTTGGCAACAGCCTTCCAGTGACTGGTTATGATCATTTCCTAAAGAAAATATTCCAAAGGTCAAGTAAAACATTCTTTGTATGTACATTGCTACAATAGTAGTAACAATAATGATAATTTTCCTAAAGCAAAAGAGAAAGCTATTAAGAGCAATTATAGTCTGGGCATATTTCCTTTGATATTGCTCCATTATGCAAAGTGATACTAGGAAGGTAGACTAGTCCACTGGTTTGAATAGGAGCCTGGAAATGAAGATGTCCCCATGTGTGACATTGTTTCTATTTCAAAGGAACCTAGGAGTCTCAGCCAAGGAGCAAAGTCAGTGTGCACCTGTCCAAAAAAGGCTAATTCAACTAACAACCAGAGGTAGATAGCTGAGGAAGCACAAGGAAACACAATCAACATGACAGGCAATTGATAGTAGCTATGCTGTTGGTGTGCTGAGATAAGTTATTGGTAAGAATAGTCCATATTTAAAAAAGAAAAAGAAAAGGCTCACTTTCTTAAATTTTTTTGGTAATAGAGGGCATATCTTGGTTTCTTTAAAGTTAATAGCATCACATGTGGAATAAAGTGCTACTAAATATGGACAAGGTTATCTGGATCCATAGTACCCGCAAAAGGAACTTCTCCCTTCCATCTAATAAACAAAAACAGCACTTTTACTAAAAGCTTCTGCAACAAGTTGCTGATTCAATCCAGCTTGCCTGCAACATTTCTGAGCAGAGGAAACTTCTAGCCATAAATACAGTAAGAACACTACCTGCATCATGCTGCTGTTCTTCATTCATTTCCACAGTGATCCAGAGAGATCTCTTGGTAGCAGAAAGCCTTGGGAGCCAAATTTGTTATGGGTTGTGATCATAGGCTGTTTTGCACCTTTCCTTCAACTGACATCCAGAAAACTTAAGCAGAATACTGCAAGAAAGAAAGAAAGATTTTAAAGTATTTATTTTTTAAAGCTCATCTATTCATTCAGGTGCAAGATTGTGTTTAGCTTATGAGGGGGCAGGAAAGGAAAAAATGTGGTTCACTTTAATATATTCTTCAAAGGCCTCCATGTTTTTCATGAGTAGGACCAGTTTCAGGTCATGAATGCATCTCAGTAATCATATGCAATATATATATGTATATATAAAAGTTTTATATAAGATCTAGCACAGAAGTTTTGTCTGCTTCTGTCATAAGGTGCATATTCCACTTGCAATAAACGTCAATTCTCATTTCTTAAATACACTAGTGAAAATGTCAAGCTAATTCAACCAAGTACAGCCAAGTGAGGTAGACCCAATCATGCCAAACAAATGTGATATCCTTCTTTGAAAAAGTAAGTATTTGGGTGGATGAAGGAATATAGTGTACCTGGACTTCATTACAGTTTTTGACAAAGTCTCACATGACCTTCTCATAAACAAACTCAAGAAATGTGGGAAAGACAAAATCAGAACAAAGTGGATAGACAAATGGCTCAGAAACTGCAAGCAACGGGTAATTATGAATGGATCCACATTAGAAACCCAGGAGGTTTTGAACAGAATCCCACAGGGTTATGCCCTGTGCCTGCCATTCAACATGCTTATTAACAATATGGATGCTGAAATGGGGAGATTATTGAGCAAATGTGCTGACACAAAACTGGGATGGATTGCAAACAGTGGAGGACAAAAGCACAATTCAGCACTGTAAACAGACTGGAAGGTAGGAGCATGATTCAGCAGGATCTTGACACATTGGAAAGCTGGACTAGACCCAACAGGATTAAGTTCAAAGTTAACAAATACAAGGTGCTACACCTCAGGAAGAGTAATCAAAAACACAAATATAGAATGGGCACAGGAGATTGCAGAACAGAGGTGAGTTAGGCCACACTCATTTTGGCTATGCCATACATGCTGAGTGAGCTCTCTGAACTCCACATGTGCCAGAGCTCCACTTGGGCCATGAGCATTTTGAGCTCACCAGCTGATTGGTGCAAGTTCTAGCTGGAACCCCTGCTTTTACATATCTGTGGGGCCCCAGGGAGTAAGCACTGATATTGTTTACCTGCCCCCTCCCTCCCAGTTGCAATTGAAAAGAGGGGACAAGCAGCTGTGACATTCACTCTGATCTCTGGACTAGGGATATAAACAATTAAATGACAATTATATTTATACCATTTACTGCTTACCATTTATTGTTTTACAGCAGGGATGGCCCCAGCCCCTTATCTTTTCACCATGCTCTCAGTGCTTCACGGGTCCTAGGCCACTGAATGGCTGCCACAGGCAGGAAGCAGAGGGCCCATCTGAGCCACTAGGGGGCACTGCCCAGCTAGGGAGCCACAGCTTCCCCTCATTCCCATGTGCAGGGACTGGGACTGGGGATGTAGATGAAGCTGGAGCTAGAGACCTCTCCTGTGCCTGGATCCTGCTGCTATGGGATGGAAGATCAGGAGGGAGGAATGTGGAATAGCCTTCTGGGTCCAGGTCACAGCAGCACAAGTGCAGCAGGAGAAACAGACAGCCTGTCACTCTGCCCAGACCCCACCACTGCAAGGGGGCCAGGCAGACCCACCATGTGGCTGGGAGTCTTGCTGCTGTGACAGGAAGGCTCTGGCCCTTTCCTCCCTCCTTCTCCATGGCAGCGCAATCTGGGCATAGGAGAAGTCCACAGCCCCAGCCTGTTGGGGTGAGGGGAACCTGCGGACTCTACAGTGGCAGTATCTGCCGCCCCCTACCTGCAGTTCCCTGCCAACAGCCTCAGGCCTGCACAGTGCTGGGTGCACAGTGAAGACATAAGGGGCTGGGGCCTTTCCTGCCAGAAATCACTAAACTAGGTATGAGCTATCGGTTAACTGTCTAACTGATATAAATTGGAGGTTAAATGGTATTTACCTCCTTACCCTGGATCTGCATAAAAGTAGAGGCTCTGACCAGAGCCCACATTGCCCTGGTGAGAACAGAGAGCTCACTGCATATCACAGAATCATAGAAAATTAGGGTTGGAAGGAACCTGTGAAGGTCATTTAGTCCAACCCCCTGCTCAAAGCAGGACCATCCCCAGCTAGATCATCCCAGCCAAGGCTTTGTCTAGTTGGGTCTTAGAAAACTCCAAGAATGGAGATTCCACAACTTCTCTGGGTAGCCTGTTCCAGCACTTTACTACCCTCCTAGTAAGAAAGTTTTTCCTAATATCCAACCTGTACTTCCCTTGCTGTAACTTGAGACCATTACTCATTGTTTTGTCATCTGCCACAACTGAGAACAGTTTAGCTCCGTTCTTTTTTAAACCACCCTTGATGTAGTTGAAGGCTGTTATTAAATCCCCCCTCAATCTTCTCTTTTCCAGACTAAATAAACCTAAATGGCCAAACTAAATGTCTACCACACAGCCAAAGGGGGGTGAGACTGTGTCACCACACCTTCCCTTGATCTACCCCGAGAATGTGTGACAACTGGCTAGATCACAAAACTGAGGAGAAGGATCTAAAGTTTTGGTGAATCACAAACTTAACAAGAATCTACAGTGTGAGGCAGCTGCAAAAAAGGTGATGCAGCTGTGTGCTGACTTCCTCTTCCTGCCACCCCCGAGGTCTCTGGGATTTGTAGTCCACAATTACAGCAGCAGAACTCTTTAGGGTTGCTCATCAATTCCTCTTCCAGTGTCCAAGTGCCTACATTATTTGTAGTCCACAGTCACAACCAGCAGTAAGTTTAGCAGGGTTGGGCAGCTCTATACACAGGGGAAGGGAAGTTTGAACTCCCTCCTTGGTCCCAGACCCTAGCTGGGGTTTGCCTGCTGGGGGCAGTGAGTCAGCCAGTGAGGCCAGTGAACCAGCCCTCACTGGTCCAGCTAGGGAGCAGAGGGCCAGCCCTGCTCTCTGGAGCAGACAGCATAGCCCAGCCCAGGGCTGCAAACTGCTGGGATGCTGGGGGACTGTGTTTAACTTGAACCAGGAAGGGGGCTGTGACAGAAGTTTTATAAACTGGTTTGATCTAAATCAACTAAGTCTGATACTACATTCAACCAGGTTTATCTTAAACCACTTTCAGCCATTTTGAAACGGGTTTATGTGCACTGAACTTCTATTCTGTTACAGGTTTAAATCAGTTACTGATCACTTAAATTGGTTTATGTGTAACGTCTGTCTGTAGCCCATGTATGCAGTTTTGGGCTCTACATTTAAAAAAAGATGTGAAGAAGTTATAGAGGGTCCAGAGGCAGTCAACAAAAATGATATAGGGCTTAGAAAGTAAGTCATACAAAAAGAGGCTACAAGAAACAGGCAAGTTCAGCTGGTAGAAAAGGTGATTAAGATGGGACATAAGTATTTGAAGGGCTGCCATACAGACTTCCCTCAGGAGGTGGTACAAGTAGCTACACTGGAAATCTTCAAAAAAACATCTGGACGCTCACCTTGCTGGAGTCATTTGACCCAGCAGTTTTTCCTGCCCAAGCGCAAGGGAGCTGGACCTAATGATTTTATGAGGTCCCTACCAGCCCCTAACATCTCTGAATCTATGGAAGAGGGAGAATGCATTTTCTTTTCTACTACAGAGAGCAGAACATGCAACAACAGCTAAAATTTCAGCTACCAGGAAAAATTTGCTCACTACTAAGATAATGAGGCAGTAGAACAGACTGCCCAGGGAAGTTGTTGAATCTCCTTCACTGGAAGTTTTCAAGAAAGGGTTGGATAAGCTTTGGTCAGAGATAATCTAGGACAGTTCTTTACTGGAGTGCCATGGCACAAGAACTTACCAGGGGTGCCGCAACATCAGCACTGCTGCCACTGCAGGGTGAGACTGCTCTGCACACATTTTCAGGAGGCACATCAGAGCTGAACTGAGAAGCAGCTGCAGGCGAGATACACTGCCTGTATCATGCAGACAGGCATGTCACTTCTGCTGGACCTTTTCCCAGTTTGGCTCCAATGTGCCTCCTGAAAACTGAGGCACATGAGGGCAGTTCTACCCAGTGGCAGTGTCATCTATAGGCTGTTACCACAGGGTGAAACTGCCTCATGCACCTCCATTTCTGGCAATGATATGCCTGCAGAAAATGGAGGCACATAGAACAGTTCCACATGTACTGTGCACCTCTGTTTCTGAGAAGGTAAAACTGGACAGGGCGGCAGCAAGAGTGCTCCTGCCACAGCAACTTCCCAATCTACCTCTGCAGGAGGTATGCAGCACAGTTCCACCTGACTGTAGAGGCTGTGGGCTAAATATAATATATTTATAATATCTAACATGCAAATTAGTAATACCATTATATTGTTTATATGATAATATTCACAATATATTTACATTACATCTGGCTCATTGTGCATCTATTTAAGGATGCTTACAGAAACATTTAGCACAGAGGTGGGCAAAATATGGCCCACAGGCTGGATTCGGTCTGCCAGGCCATTCTATCTGGCCTGCAGGACCCCTAAAAATTTAGAAAATTAATATTTAGCTGTCCATGGATGCCTGTCAAAGATGACAAAAGCTAGGGGCAGTAGGACCCAGGAGGAGCCAGTGGCAGGACCCAGCAGCTGCAGAAGCAAGACTAGCCTGACCCTGCCCAGATTGACGGGCAGGGGATGGAGGGGAATGGCAGGAGCAGCAGACAGGAAAGCAGGAAAATGGCTGCAGCAGGCGAGGGGAGTGGCAGCAAGTGAGCATGCGGAGTGCACTGGGGCTGGTGCAAGTGAGAGTCCATGGCGAGGTGGCAGAAACATGGGGCCTGGGCTGGCAGGGGCCCTATGAAGCCGGGCCAGCTCCCCACTCTCCCTCCCAGCAGAACCCAGCCCAGCTGCACAGAGCCCCTGCCAGCCTGTGCTCCTGCCACCCTGCTCTGGGCCTCCACCAGCATGGGCCCCACACTCCCACTTAGCTGTCACTGTGCTCTGTGCACCTGGTCACTGCCCCTTCCCCACCACCTACCACAGC